AGATAAATATTTTCACTTCGGCCACCATTTTGTTTATACGAAAAATTTTCATATTCGGAGAACCATAGTAACTTGTAGTTAAAACTTCCAGGCCGCGATCTATAAGGGTTTTAGGTATTAAAAAAAATGCTTAGGGAACGAAAAGTCGATTTAAAAAAAAAATTAAATCAGAAAATCATGATTTTTTTATTTATTTTTGATTTTTGGACCGTAAAAGTTTTTCAGCGACAATTTTAACCAGCATCATTGGAAAGAGGACACTCGAAAACATAAGAAACAATGGTTCCTGAATTTTTTCCACGAGAATTCATGACATGAGAATAGTTCAAACTCAGGTCTCGAAAAACCGTCCTGTGAGCGTTAATGTGTTAAAAGAAATTTGAGGCAAAGATGGCCGCAATTATACAGGGTGTCCAAAAAGTTCCAGGACACCCCAGTAAGTCCTGAGATATAACTATTTCCGAGGAGATTAAGGTCATTCCTGTAGTAACTTTGAACGAGGAATCCAGTGGTGACCTTGGTTTTGACCTTGAGCTTGACCTACAAGGTCATTTCAAGATCAACTTTTTTTTTCAAATGGTAACCCCTATTTTTGACAACGGTAATCGAAAGTGCGGGAAATTTTACGTCCAAAACGGTATTATAAAATTTTTTTTCATGGCCTTGAGAAGGTCGATTTAAGGTCAAATGCATGAAAAACTGCCTAAAAGCTTTTTTTTAATTTTTAAGATATCGAAAAATGACCTCTACAAAATTTGTTCAGAACAGAGTGAGCCACCCAATGCACGAAAAACCTTTGACCTTTAACCTCATTTTGAAGGTCATTTCAAGGTGGAAGTGTTTTTTGTAATGGAAACCCCTATTTTTGACCCCGGATTCGCACATAGCGCGAAATCAGAAAGAAACATTCAAAACGCAGTGAGTGGAAAAAACTTATCCGGTAAAAAAACTGTACCTATGTCTCTGCTTGCTCCTCATTTAAAACAACTTAACTTTCGGTTTGGATAACCCGTTACTTTATTATTCAAACAATCAAAGGTGACCTTGAAATAACCTTAAAATGATCTTGAAGGTCAAAGATAAGGTCACTGTAACATGCTCCCAGTAGAATTTAATAAATTTAGCCCGAAACATTTTGTAAATGTTTCGCGAATAATATTGGATTTAAATTTCACATGATCTTAGCGATGAACGTCGTGGATCAATCGAAACTCAACATAATACATTATCCAAACGTCGGATTTCGCGCTATGTGCGAATCCGGGGTCAAAAAGAGGGGTTTCCATTACAAAAAACACTTTGACCTTGAAATGACCTTCAAAATGAGGTGAAAGGTTTTTGGTGCATTGAGTGGCCCACTCTGTTCTGAACAAATTTTGTAGAGGTCATTTTTCGATATCTTAAAAATTAAAAAAACGCTTTTAGGCAGTTTTTCAAGCATTTGACCTTAAATCGACCTTCTCAAGGCCATGAAAAAAAATTTTAAAATACCGGTTTGGACGTAAAATTTCCCGCTATTTCGATTACCGTTGTCAAAAATAGGGGTTCCCATTTGAAAAAAAAAGTTGACCTTGAAATGACCTTGAAGGTCAAGCTCAAGGTCAAAACCAAGGTCACCACTGGATTCCTCGTTCAAAGTTACTACAGGAATGACCTTAATCTCCATGGAAATAGTTATATCTCAGGACTTACTGGGGTGTCCCGGAACTTTTTGGACACCCTGTATGTATTAAAATCTTGATATCTAATATAATTATACATGATTCTATTAACTTTGAGATAAAGCAATAGATCTATAGGTGGTTGTAGATTACCAAAACTATCAAAATACATAACCTCATCACCTTTCTTTTCGTATGCCACCCAATGAGTACCTGGTCCACGTTTATCATCTAAATTTACAATAGCTGTCTCTTTCTATCGTGGTTCATCAGCTGACAGAACATTACGCATGAAAACACCTCGAAAATTTGCAATTTTTAGTATTTTAGCATATTTTCTTATATCATGATCTGTCAGTGCTCGATTAGGTAAAGTTATTTCGAGCTTTTTTCTTTTAAACCTTTTCCACTTGAATATGGTTTCAGATGAAGACCATAACCTTTACGATATGGTTTCAAATAAAGTCCTTTACCAATAGCAATAGCTTCCATAGTTTTATTATGTCTATGAGTTTCTTTCAATTAATTTTGAGCGGCCTTAGCACTGTTAACGGCTAACGGTAGAGCTCCAGTGGCGCTTAAAGCGGCATATAATGGAATTAAAAAAGGAAGCGCTCCACCAACTTTACTGGGAATAGGTAAAATACGTGGTATATTTAATTTACTTCTACCGCCAGCCTTTTTCACAGCTTCTTTGGCTCCTTTTATAGCCGAACGAATAACTACAAGAGCTCGATTGTTAGGCACACTACTTTTCGAGACCGTCTTAATAATTTTATTCAATGTAACTGACGGCTTTTTGATTTTTCTACATTTCTTTCGTGCTTGGCGTTTTTTAAATCCTCTACCTCGTTTCTTACTACCTTTCTTCATATCAATACGCATACCAAGCTTACTTTAAACTTTCATAATGTTGGCTACAGTGAAGGCAGCTGCTTTCTCACCAAAACTGCTATCTTTATCTTGCAGTCTTTTCCAAGCTTTGTTAGTTAAAACTTCGTCAGCTTTATTTCTTGTCGCAACATCCTCCAGATTTTGTGCGTAAGCAATATCGTGTTCTTTAAAAGCAACGTCTAGTGGATTTTTACCAGGATCTCCACGTGCCAATTATTTGTTCAATTTTGTACTAGGATCACAATACTGATATCCAGGTAAGTGAGTTTCAATAGGCAAGTTATTTATAATCTTGTTCACTAGATCACCACCAGTCTTTCTTTTATAGTACGTGATCATACTTCTTCGAAAGACAGCATGTTAATGAAATAAAAAATATATAAGCAAACTTTTTCTACCTATCAAACTCATTCATTGAGATGTCGATTATGAGTAAACAACATGGATTTCAAAAAACAACTTCTTAACCTTCAAGTCATTAATTTCGATAGAGTGGTGGAGACGGAAAAACAAGAAAAAAGACATGGCGAACTATTGCCTAATAGTATCCGTGCTGTTTTCTGCGGACCTAGTAATTGTGGAAAAACTAATTGTTTATTAACATTATTCACTTATCCTAATCGTCTTAGATTTGAAAACTTATATGTCTACTCAAAATCCCTTTATCAGCCTAAATATACATTTTTGAAAGATTTATTAGAGCCTATTAATATAGAGTATCATGCTTTCAGCGAGCATGAGACAGTTGTTTCACCAGATAAAACACGAGAAAATTCTATCACGATTTTTGACGACATAGCCACTGAGAAGCAAGATAACGTAAGAGCATTCTTCTGTATGGGTAGACATAAAAAAGTAGATATTTTCTATCTCTGTCAATCGTACGCTCGCATTCCGAAGCATCTCATTCGAGGTAATGTGAATTTACTTGTTTTGTTTCAACAAGATGACGTAAATATTAAGCACATTTATAATGATCATGTTAACTCAGATATGTCTTTTGAGATGTTTAAAGCAATTTGTTCAAAATGTTGGAGAGACGATAATCATGGATTTTTAGTTATCGACAGAGACGGACCAATAAATCATGGATGATATAGAAAGGGATTTGATATTTTTACTATAAATATAGAGGAGTGAGTGGATGAAGATTATTTAACTTTAGAAATTACAAGCGTAAACATGGCTGACTTTGAAAGAGAAAACAAGGTGCTCGAGCAATTATCCATGGCTCGTGATGCCATAAGACGCAAGTATCAACTAATAAAACGCGATAAAGCTGATTTAGAAAAGACATTGCATGAAACTTTTAAACCTATAGTTGATCCATTGAAGAAACTCATAAAGGCAACTACTGATAAAAGTAACGCTACTACTGCTGAACAGCCAACGAAAAAGAAAAAGGAAAATCGCGTTCGATAATGTTTTCAAATCAGAAGTAGCAACTGACACTCCCTACAAATCTAGATATTTCAATAGTACTGCTAATGAATTAAATTCTACATTACAACCGCTTGATACTACATTTGAGTCTGCTATTTCTATTGATGATGATGATGATGATGATGATGAATCATCACTTGATACAACTGCTATAAATTTGAACAAAAGTAGTTCAAATGTGACTACAGAACAGAGACAACAGCTATTGGATGATTCGATTGTAGGAAACTATGTTCGACTATTGCACGAACCTCAGCAGAAAAGTAATTTAGACATTTGGTGTTCGCTTGCATGAAAATACATATATCATAGGCAATTCTCCAATTTCCTTCCAAAACAATAACGTGACTGTGAATGATAAAGCATACAGCAAGACGTTTGGTTTGATGGAACTTCTCTTTCGTAATGAACCTGATTCTAAATTAATCAGTTCATTGGATATTGAAAATTATATAAAAATTCTTGAAATCACTAACGCTCATCGAAAGAGATACGAAACAAATGGAGAATATCGCAATAAGCATGTAAAATAAATTCAAAAAGTATATTGGTCCAAATTTGTCTTTGAGCAGTAGCTCTAAGAAGCGAGAATCGACTATTGATGGAAGAGGTCTTTTTCCTAACTATAAAATAGCTAGAAAAGGAACGTTATTTGATTATGTATATTGGGATGATCTAAACAAGCTCGTTGATCGATTGAGATTGCTTATTGCCGATCAAACCGCCGGTTATTCTAGTCATGTTAATGAAATTCATTCAATTATTGAAGAATTACGTGAAGCTAGCTATATATTGTTATGTATTCTCCTCTGATTTCGAACGAAATATGTTGCTAAGCGATTTAGTAGTGTTTTTTGTTTCTTATTGTGTATTTTTTTGTGTTGAGATGAAAAACATATATTTGTGGTTATTTTAAATAAATACGTTCTCGTTCTTTTTATAACAAAATTATTGTTATTTCGTGTGAGTGTAACATTTTGGGGGCTCGTCCGGGATTTCGAAATGTCAAGAAAAACGCCGCGCACACCAACGCATGTACCATTCCAGACAAAGACAAGAGCACAAATTGCCGCGGAGGAACAGGCCGCTGCAGTTGCTATTACCAGTGCCGAGATATTTGTTCGTGAAATTGTATGTAGATACGGTGTTCCTCTTGAAGTTCATACTAACAAGGGTCGTAATTTTGACGCTAAACTAATCAAGCAACTATCCCAATTGTTAGATATACAAAAGACTAGAACAACACCGTTACCCCCACAATCAGATGGCCAAGTAGAAAGACATAATATGACAATTCTTGACTACTTAGCTAAATACATATCAGATAATCAAAAAGATTGGGATCGTTGGATTGCCTTGTACCTTTTAGCTTACAGATCTTCTATTCATGCCACAACTGAAACTAGTCCAGCTAAGATGTACACCGGTTCAGACCTGAGACTTCCCTTAGACTTGATGCGCGGACGTCTTCCTGAAGTAAAGAATCCTCATACATGAGAAAACTACGTACACAAACTCAAGAACAACATCGACAAAATACATCATTTTGCAAGAGCACACATCAAGATTACATAACAACGATCGAAGAAATACTACGATAGAACAGCTCAACACATAAATTTCACAAACAACCAAAAAGTATGGCTTTTCAACCCTCGACGGCTCAAAGGAAGGACACCAAAACTCCAGAGTAATTGGGAAGGTCCTTTTACAATTATCAAAAAGATCAGTGATGTAGTCTTCTGCATCCAGAAGACTCCACGACATAAAAAAAAGATTGTCCACATTGACCGATTAGCGACATATCACGATAGGTAAATTCTTCTGCTCTGCTCACGGTTTTTGAGTCGTGGTTTTCCCGTGAGCTGTAGAGCGAATGCTGGAGCAGGGATGAAGTTGCGGTACCAGGACAAGTTAACCCCCCACTTTTATCCAAGAATTACCTAAAAGATAGATGTTCACTGATGATACCCTGATGTTACCTGGATTTATTGATTCTATATTTTAAGAGACGGGTCCTGTGACCAGATAAGTCAAGGATTAATCCGCTTAAAAATAGAAGATTTTTAAGATTTCACGATTTTAAGTTGATGATGCGCTGATTTCAAGAATGAAGATGGATCATCTTTTCAAGAGACAGGTCCATTGGCCGGGTGAGTCAAGGATCAACCCGCTTGAAGAGGGCGGTCTTTCTTTCGGTTATAAGATTGTCGGGACGACAATCTAAAAAAAGGGGGAATAATGTTATGTATTCTACTCTGATTTCGAACGAAATATGTTGCTAAGCGATTTAGTAGTGTTGTTTGTTTCTCAGTGTGTGTTTTTTTGTGTTGAGATGAAAAACATATATTTGTGGTTATTTTAAATAAATACGTTCTCGTTCTTTTTATAACAAAATTATTGTTATTTCGTTTGAGTGTACGTGTGAGTGTAACAATATATTAAGAGAATCCTAAATATTACTCAGTAATAAAATAAGTGTTGATGTTTTTGGACGTATATTGAATAAAAAAAAGGAGTGTAATCGAGATCCTCCTGGTGTAGGGTATAATATCACTAAAGACGGACAATAGGGAAAAAGGCGGACGGTTGCCTGGAAGTCGAGTGTTAGACGAGAAGAATGCGGGAGTGAATGGTATGAACAAATGGATGAATGTGAATAAACGGACGTAACGAAACGATACAGGACCCGTGGACAACGAGAGGACTTGACGCGGTTCTCCAGCGGGAAGTAATGCTTACGCGGTTCCCCGCTGGAGAATGGTGTAGGTGGACTTTACTACTCTTCCCCGGATGGTTTACCCTCCGGTTGAAGAGAAGCGGGATTTGGGCGGTCAGCTGGTCTTCGACGACCCGGAGGCTCCTTGCGTTCGATTGATAGATCGCTTGAAACAGCCCGGTCTGAGAGGATCAGCGAGTCACGTCACACGGCGGGTGGGAGAGTGTAGGTGGGTAGCTTCGGTGAACTGCCGTCACACTCCAACCGTTATGGTCCATGAGGATTTATCCTGTTTTTTTACCACCATAAAAAAAAAAAAAAAAAAAAAAAAATAATAATAATAATAATAATAATAATAATAATAATAATAATGCCGGGCTGGTCTAGTGAGTGGTAACACCTCACTGGACAAATGCTAGCTTCCAACGTCCACGACGTGCCCGGTGGAAACGTTGTCCGTCGCGTCAATGCTCTGAGCAGCAATGCCATAACGGACACGGCCAAGAGGAAGATATGGCTCACAAATGACGCAAAAGATAATGGTATTCTGGCGATGTGTCCAACCATTAATCACTTATACACATACACACTCACACACTACGCAAACACTCACACACACACGCCTTCTGGCTAACCGGGGAAGTGAATGCTCGGCGACCCTATAAACGGGCCTTACAGAAAAGCGAATGGTAGGGGACTCCTATAAACGGAGCCGCCCGAAAACGAGTGAAGGGGATCTCTCTAAATGGGCTCTCCCCGTGAACGAAGCCCGGTTTTGCCCATGGGCACTTACATACACGCACACATCACAGGGGGGAACACTGAACACACAGGGTAAACACACAGGGACGGGACCTCAGGGGCCGTGCGTTGTCCCAGCGCGGTTCGTGGAGTCGCGACCACGAGGGACCTCTAGCATAACGGGACAGAAAACTATGGAAAATGCACAAAGAAAACATTGATTTACCTCAAGTGGTAATCCCTTCTCAGGGAGAATCCACCCCGGGTTCCGATCGGGTGAAAGCCCCGGTGGCCACGGGCAGCGGCAAGGATTTTGAGGGCCGCACCTTATGCATGGCGAAGAGGAGGACCAAACGAAACGATACGAACAAAAATATACTGAACATACCAGAACGACAGAGGACAGACAGTTTATCAAGTGGCGGCAGCGGGGTGAGTTACGCCTCCGCCACAGACAACCAAGAACAGACGTCAGGACGAATACCCACGATAAACAAAACACGAGACATGACTGAACTGCTAAGGCTAATACAAGAGACGGCGACAAAAATGGCCGAAGCAGCAAACATACAAAAAAACATGAATATGACAGTGAAGACTGGAATCAAGACAATTCTCGAGACTGTGGACATTGCGCTGCACAAGCGGATGGACACAGCTCCGGAAGGACACCGACGAGACAGCAACAAGACAAGCACGACGACGAACAACAACGCAGAGACGCCACAAACGAAATGGAAACGTTCGCTGACCGGAACCACGCCGGAGCCCTCACAAAAGAGGCCACCGACGACAGATTCGACCAAAGACTGGCAGACCGTTACACGGAAAAAAACAAAAAAGGAAACGGACGCAAGGAATCGACCTGACAAGGTCAGACCGGCCCACCAGAAAAGGGGACTCGCTGTCCTCGTCAAACCGGGGACACACGCGTCGTACTCCGATATCGTCCGAAAAATCCGGACAACGATCGATCCGAAGGAGTGTCACGTACAGGTGACGACCCTGAGGAAGACTAAGAACGGTCTGTGCCTATTGAAGCTGCAGGTAGACGCAGACAAACCAGACGGACGCGACGTGTTTGAGTGACAGATCCAGGAGGCCATCGGGGAAGCAGGCAGTGTCAGGGCTATGACTTCCAAGGTACAATTGGAGATCATGGATCTGGACTGCGTTGCGACTCCGGAAGACGTGACGGACGCGCTCAGAGGAGAGTCTGGGCGAGACACAGACTTTCGGGTCCACATTTTCGGTCCTAACCGCGCTGAGCAGTATATGGCGGTCTGCGAAATGGAATCGCGAGAAGCCGAGGCGCTGCTGCGGCGCGGTCGGATCGGAATTGGCTGGGTGCACTGCCGCTTCCGAAAAAGACTGACGGTGACGAAATGTTACAGGTGCCTGGGCTTCGGCCACGTGAAGGCCGAATGTACGGGCAAGGACAGGACGAAATGCTGCCGCAAATGCGGCGCATCCGGACATTACGCGACGGAATGCAAAGGAGAACCGGTCTGCCCACTGTGCTCCGAGGCCGGGCATGGGGACGTCGCCCACCTCGCCGGAAACGGCAGGTGTGCCGTGTTCCGGGCCGCGCTGGAGGAGTGCAGGAGGCGTGCCGGAAGACGGACAGAGTAGTACAAGGAAACTTGAATAGAAGTAGGACTGCAGACATGCTCCTACCGCAGATAGCCGACGAACATGACGCGGATATTCTGATCCTGTGTGAACCATACAGGAAAAGGATGTCCCAGACATACATTACAAACAGGACAGAGACCACTGCTATCTGGGTAAGGGGCGCCGCTCAATTTAGAGTCTCCAACCGCAGAGTCGGGGACGACTACGTCTGGGCTACAGTCGGCGCTGTCACTTATGTCAGCGTCTACTTGACACCCAACTGCACCGCGGCGGAGTTCGAAAGGAAGGCGACGCTGTTAGAGGACGGGATCAGGGACCTGCCCGGAGATATCATCGTTGCGGGGGATCTCAATGCGAGGGCGATCGAGTGGGGAATGAACGAAACGAACCGACGTGGACGACTGCTGCTGGAAATGGCCGCAAGGTTGGACCTAGCAGTAGTAAATACGGGACACACGCCGACGTACAGACGACCAGGGATTGGAGACTCCATCCCTGACGTGACGATGACGTCGGACAGAATCCTGCCACGGCTGAGGGGGTGGCGGGTGGTCGAGGACTATACAGCCAGCGACCATCAATACATCGTCTTCGAAGTGGCGGGACGGACAGAAACGAGACAAACGAGAATCCACCAACCCCCGCGGTGGAACCTTAACAAACTTGACCGACAAAAATTTTCGGAGGAGTTGATGGCGGCATCAGCCCCGGGGTCGAAGATTCCTCCTGAGCTAACGGGCCGGCGAAGAACGGAAAGACTGACAGACGAGACGGCGAAATTAATAAACAACTTGTGCACCAGCACAATGACGAAACGACGACAGATACAAAAAAGACGACCACAATACTGGTGGACGGACGAAATAGCCGAGCTACGCAAGATATGCCTGGCAAATCGGCGACGTGCGACGAGGGCTGGAGGTGGACCCGAAAGGGAAAACCTTCAGGCCATATACAAACTCACTCCCGTTCGAGTGCTCGTACCGTATAGACGTGCACCGGAGCGCTCTCCGCAACCGAATCTAAATATTTTGAAAGTAACACATACATATATATATATATACAATATACAAGTGTCAACCTGCTCACCGCAAAACAGCCATTATGGCTGAAAACAGCGAAGAGAAAAATCAAGATAGTACTTGGAAAATGGTAAAAAATAAAAGGACAAGAGATAGTCCAGAAGATAAACGAACAAATAAAAAAAGGCAAACAAGTATAAAGGAATACTGGCTGGGAATATCGGAAAGCCCAGCTGTTGAGGTGAATAATAGATATCAAGTGCTGGAAAATAGTGAAACTCATAACAAAAACCAAGGAACAGAAACTACAACAGCTGTTAAACCGTCAAAATCACCACCTATATTCGTAAGTGGCGTTTTAAATATCAGTCCTTTATACG